CAGTAAAAAGGGTCTCCGGTTTTCTATACTCACCATACGGAAACACAGCAGCATCAAGCTCTTTCAACCCTTACTGAATAATATGATTTTTCTAAAAGCTGTTTCTTCACTTTATTTTTAAATAAATTAATGTTTGAAATTTCAAGCAGAGAGTTTGGTAAATGATTATTTATACACTCTAGGAATCACGAAAAATACACTGCTATTTAAAAGTTTTGTTCTATTAGACATGAAGCTTATCTGGAAATGGTATCTTTTGTTTTTTAGTTAAACCAACAAGTATCTATTATTCTTATAAATAGTACCATATCCAGTATATAAATACACGGTAGTTTCAATATTTTCATCTTTGGAAATATCGACCAACAGCTCGCGGTTTGTTTCATTCTGTATATAGCCTGAACGCATCTCTTTTGCACTCTAAAGACCAAATAGTTTCCTACAGAGTTTCCCCATAACGTTACACCATACATGAAAAGAGAAGTAACATGTCCATGGAAAGCCGTTAAAACTGTGGATGTAAGTTTCGAACACATCTCTGTATGTGACTTCCACATTAGTTGAGAATCAATATTTAGCCCCAAGAATTTTGTTGTCCCTACTTCTTCATATTGTTACGAGCTTGAGGTTCGTGACAATAAAAATTGCCGATAAAATTACCTAAATTAACACTTTAATTTACTTTACACGAATTAAAACTTAAAACACTAACAATTAAAACACACTAATTCACTTAATTCCACTCCGAAGCTTCGCTTGTTTCGCCCAAATCAACACTGCTTCCATCGCATCTTGCAGCGCCTATATATTTAAATTAGCAAAGAAATATCCAGAATGTTCAAGTAAACACGCGGAAGGTACCGAGCGTTCGAGTTTCGACTAGGCGCTGTCAGTTGAGTGATTTGTGATGTCATTTTCTCAATGCTCCCCTCGCTCTCGTTCCTGACACTAGATGGCGCTAGTTGACTTATTCATGCAACACTGCCCCCTCCTAAGACATGCTCGTCCCGAGCATTATCGGTCCCATAATAACGCGCCAAGCGATCCACATGGACGATCTTAGGAGTCCCTCTTGCGCCTTTCTGTATCCGGTAGGTCACATCGTTGATCCTGGTTACAATCCGGTACGGGCCGTCCCATTTAGCTTGAAGCTTAGGAGATTTCCCTTTGCTGCGGACTGGATTGTGCAACCACACAAGTGAACCTTCGTCGAACCCTTTGTTGTTCATTTTGCGGTCGTACCGGGTTTTCATTTTCTCAGACATTTGCTGGCCCGATTGTCTGACGTGCTCATAAATGTCATTCATTTTGTTCCGCAAGTCATTTGCATAATCGGTTATACTGCGTGGGGCATCAGGTGGTATCCCGGTGATCAGGTCCGCAGGCAGCCGTAATTCTCTTCCAAAGTTTGCGAAAGCTGGTGTCACTGCTGTACTTTCGTGAACAGAACTTCGATATGACAACAAAAACGGTTGTATGTGCTTGTCCCAATCTCGTTGCCGATTGTCTACAACTTTTGCTAGGTACCTCTCCAATGTCTGATTAAATCGTTCCACCATTCCATCAGATTGCGGGTGATAAGAAGTCGTTCTTGTTTTATGAGTACCCATAACTCGGCAAGTTTCCTGGAATATTTGAGACTCAAAATTCCTTCCTTGATCGCTGTGAATCTCTAAAGGTACTCCAAAACGACAGAAGACTTCATGAACTAGTTTATCTGCAACTGTTGAAGCTTCTTGATTTGGAATGGCGAAGACTTCTGGCCACTTAGTGAAGTAATCCATCACAACCATGAAATACTTGTTACCGCTTTCACTCTCCGGAAACGGCCCCGCCACGTCAATGGCTATTCTCTCCCATGGTGCACCCACATTGTACAACTTCAATGCACCTCTACTACGAGTCTGAGGTCCCTTTACAGCCGCACAACTTGTACATTTGCGACACCAGTCCTCGACATCGTTTCGACAGTGGACCCAGTAAAACTATTCTCGGACCTTCAGTAGAGTTCGTTTAACTCCCAGATGGACTATTGAACGACCATTATGGCACAACTGTAGAACATTCGGCACTTTAGCTTTAGGGACAACCATTTGCAAACGACAGCTGTCTCTTCGACCATTGTCCCATTTACGGCACAGGACTCCATCCTGAATCAGCAAGCTGTCCCATTGGGCCCAATAGCTTTTCGTGATTGAACTCATCGCTGAGACGTCCCTCCACTTAGGCTTGGTAGCACGGGCCTTCATCCATCCCAGAATCGGCTTGATGTCCGGATCTTCCTGCTGTGCATGTCGTAGGTTGTCCTTCCACCCGTTGCTGAGGTGGTCTGTCCTGAGCATCCTCACGGATACCACCTCCTTACTCTCTTGCCTACTACAATGGTTGCAATCTTCAGGACAAGGTCTTCTTGACAATGCATCTGCGTTGCCGTGAAATTTCCCGCTGCAGTGTCTGATAGTAAAGTCGTATTCCTGCTGCTGCTGGGCGGTGCTGTTAGCCGCACTTCCTTTCTGAGACCGTTCACCTTCCCTTCGTAGGGTGTGCTCAGGGTAGCTGGACCGAAGATGGCCCTTTTCCCCACAGCCATAGCACCTTGGGCTGTATCCTTTGTTGCGGTCGCGAACTGTAGCTGCTGCAACCTCCCTGACGCGATGGGAACGATGATCCTGCCGCACGGCTTCCACTTCCAGTGCATGGGCCAAGGCGTCCTTAAGCGTCTCGTGGTGCCCGAGCCTCACAGCAGCTCTGACTTCCAGGTCGCGGATGCCGTCGATGAATGTCTGCACCAGGTTTCCTTCAATGAGCGCAGGTACAGACCGGTATGCTTTTCGCACCAGCTTCTCCACTTCTAGAGCCCACTGCTGCAGGTTTTCGTTGATGCGCTGCACACGATCTTTAAGCTGCGCACGAAAGACGTGTTCCAGGTGAGCGTCGCCATATCTCGCCTCCAATGCCTCAAGGAGTTGCTCATAAGTCACTTCCTCACCGAGAGCTTCCAGAACTGTTAAGGCCTGGTCGCGCAGGCCTAGTGTGAGAGCAGTCATGGCCTGACTTTTATTCCAGCCGTTCGCCTTCATAACAGCCTCGAACTGGATTTTGTAGACTGACCAGGAAGAAGTCCCGTCGAATGGTGGCACCTTGAACCCACGTAGCGAAGGTGTAATAGCTACTACGGGAGCTGTAGTTCCATCCCCCAGTTTGAGGTCGTCCAGCGTTTTCTTCACGTCAGCCATCACGTAATCAACCCGATTGTTTACTTGGTCGATTTGGGTTTTAGCTTCCTTGATTTGGGTTTCAGCTTCCGACAGGCGGTTGTCATGTTGAGCAACCCTATCCTTCACCTCCCTAATCTCTTTCCCGAAGTTAGCGTGAATGTCCTTCACGAGGAGCATCTGCTCTTCCTGTCGGCGGGCCTGTTCCTCCTGCTGCTCTTTCAACCAACGGGCCTGTTCCTCCTGTCGGCGAGCCTGTTCCTCCTGTCGGCGAGCCTGTTCCTCCTGTCGGCGAGCCTGTTCCTCCTGTCGGCGAGCCTGTTCCTGCAGCATCACCATCAGAGCACCTAAATCGGGTGCTGCAGATGGAAGAGCTACTGACGGGCCTGCAGCCGGCGGCTGGCCCTCCGACGTCAACGGCGTTGCACCACCAAATCTTCTTTGGTCCGTCTCCTGCTGGCGTTGATTTCGGGTACGGACACCCTCCGTTTCCTCCTTAGGTAAAATCGGCATGATTTTATCCCACTTCTGACACCAATTGTTACGAGCTTGAGGTTCGTGACAATAAAAATTGCCGATAAAATTACCTAAATTAACACTTTAATTTACTTTACACGAATTAAAACTTAAAACACTAACAATTAAAACACACTAATTCACTTAATTCCACTCCGAAGCTTCGCTTGTTTCGCCCAAATCAACACTGCTTCCATCGCATCTTGCAGCGCCTATATATTTAAATTAGCAAAGAAATATCCAGAATGTTCAAGTAAACACGCGGAAGGTACCGAGCGTTCGAGTTTCGACTAGGCGCTGTCAGTTGAGTGATTTGTGATGTCATTTTCTCAATGCTCCCCTCGCTCTCGTTCCTGACACTAGATGGCGCTAGTTGACTTATTCATGCAACAATATTATCAATCAATGCATGTATGATCTCCCGAAAGTAACAAGCAATGACACAAATTAAATTACATTAATTTTAATATAATTATATAATTATTTAATACATATAATTATGTATTTATATATATAATTAGTTAATTTATGATAAACGGATATGAGCAACCACTATATTGTGTACATATGTGAGACCCAATCCCCCCCCCACACACACTTAACATGAAGTGGAATTTGGTTAAAAACTACCCCAGGAGGGTTTCAGCTCTCCAAGTTACGGAGAATCCCTCGCTGGGCATCAACGACCAAGTAATCCTGCTATTCCTGAGCGTGGGTGCTCAGGTTACCCCGCGTATTCTGGGGGGGCAGCGCGATTCCATTAGCGACAAAACTGTTCGGGAAAGCGGAGCAACAACACAAAGGCCATCCCTGCCACGCTATCCGTGATTTTTTCCCATCTTGGGACTTCATTCCAACCTTAATGCTGTCCACTGCGAATATTTTTCTACTCTTAGAGGAAGAACTTTTTCTTTAAATTTAAATGGGACCGTCTATGTATATGTCGCTCATTCTATGAAAACATTCATTAAAATCAACCTACAATCAGCGAAGATATAGCATAATATACAAAAATACACCTGAATTAAGAAGCTCCTTACTTTTTATGTTTGGTGAAAAACTAGTGGCATCATTATATTTGGTCCAAAAAACGGATACATATTTTAACTTTCAGAAAATAAAATTCCTTTTCCATTTATTCCAATGTATATTTTTTACAGTACAAGCCACAATATAACGCAAAAAACCATAGTGAAATTTCTTCACTATCTCCCAATTTTGAAAGACTATGGAAAATCGACCAGGGACATCGATAATTTTGAAACTATTATGTCTATTTTAAAGAATCATTATTTTACGGTGGATTCTCTTATGGAGGAGGTAATCATAAATGAATTTCAAAGCCTTACCTATTCTGTAATTGTACAATGAATTAGTATAAGCAATGTCGATTAGGAGCAAATGATAGTTCAGAATTTACCGTGTAGTAGTGGTGCAAAAATATCCACTACCCCATATCGTCTCGTGATTGTCGTAAGAGGCGACAGAGGGTAACAAATCTAAAAACTTTATTTGTTATAACTTATCACATTAAATTTTATTTAACTTATGTCTTTCATAGTTTATATTCATGCGGACAGTATTTAGCTATGATTTTGTAAGTGACCCGTTATCTAGTTGGTATTGTTGATCGTAGGTTGTAACGGTAATTAACTGTCCAGAATGTAATATAATATTAAAAATATAGCAAATATCTGCGCTACCATCAGAGTATCTCCATAATTATACAATTAACTATTTCATTGGTCCGGATGGAGATTTAAATTGATTTCCTCGCGTAGTTACTATGAAATTTATAGACAATCAATCCTACTAAGGGCTCTACAAAAATGTAATACTATTTCAAAGTATAATATTATTCGTTAACTTGTTTATTCTTAACAGTCTATCAAAAGTCCACGGATGAGCGTTGGCATAGATTATTTCAAATGGGAATATTTGCGCTACTTGCTATGCTTGAAAAGTCAAACAGAAACAGAAAAAATCTGTTTGACTTTTTTTAATTATTTTGAGTTATTCTCTTTTATCAGTTCCCCTATTTATCTTTTACGATATCCACGGGATTATAATATGAAGTAATAGATTTTCCTACGCTACCACCATATGGCGTTGATGGTGAATGATTTTTGTGTTTTGATGTTGTGACACGCTCCGGCTTCGCCTGGGTGTGATCTATTTATTTGACGTTTTTAGACTTGAGATAATCATAAAAGGATGTTTTATCAATTTTTCGTTTTAAAAAATACTTCATGTTTTTCGTTTGATATATTAGCTTGGATTACTCCTGGCAAAACTCTCTATCTATTTGTTAGGTTTCATCACAATATATGTACGTGGCAGTCACGCTACAGCTACATTGTACTTGTAGCATGAATGGGACGACTCGACCGGGGAAGTACCACGCTCTCACCGAATACCAGTGTAAAATAGCAGCTGTGTCTCGTATGGTGAGTGTAGAGATACGTAGACCTTTTTTACCGGAAACGAGGCATTACATCTTAATCCTCAGGGGTGACAACGCATTTTGATACTTAATCGAGGATACATGTAGATCTCTATGGGCGACAGCATCCATTTATCATCAGGTGGACTGTGTGCTCGTTTGTCATCCTTATTGTATAAAAAAATCGGTTCATCCATTCCGAAGATTAGTCCAGCCAGATAGACAGACAGACAAGATTTGAAAAATGCTATCCAATGACTTAATGACCTGCAAATAACCCGACCCTCACCCCCCTCGACTCAGTAAAAGGCAGTTATTTCGATATATATATATATATTTTTTTTTTTTTAAAATCTAACTATTTTTCAATATTTTACAGGTACATCAAAAATGTGAAAATTTGTTGTTGTACTGTGCATATAACAGAAAAGTTAAAAACTGTGGTGACATTTTTGAACTAATAAAGACATACGAAGGCTACTGCTGCGCGTTTAACTACGCTGCCCTGAATGATGATGGCGATATGTAAGTTTAGTTTTTACAAGTTATGACCGCCGCCGGAGTTGAATTTTCTAAAATCCTGTCTTAATGGGTGACTACGTCGAGAAAGGCGTATATATTATGCCAAAACGGCGTATAGTTTTTAGACGAGTGAGTCTGTTGTATTTTGCTTAAATAATACATAGTCAACTAATTTAATTTCAGTTAACAGCCCTAAGTAATTAAGCTCGTCTGTAATTAGTCTCGTTTAATGAAATTAATAAGGTGACCATACCATGTATTATCACTGTTTATGTTTAATAATGCGCTATATGTTGGATTACATAAATGTACGCGGCAATGTATTCAGCACCATAACCTACTATCGTATCGATTGTATATAATTCAGGCCGCCAGTTGAACGGCATCGTTTGATAAAAAGGCAAAGCTGTTAACTTAAAGACTATTTAAGCTAATTGGCTGCAATAGAAAGACAGACGGAAGGTTGCCAAATAAACGCACTGTACATGGTTGCTGCAGAATCAAATAATAGATCCTTTGTCACTTTTGACGACTAAGGTCTCTCGTTGCGAGTTAAATGCACGTTGTATAGATTATGTTATCAGTAACAAAGCAACGAACAGTCCACCTAATAGTATGTGGGTGACGGATTTAACTCGGCTGGGCAGCATTCGGGAGATCACCACACATTTTCTCGTCAGGCATACCTCAAAACCTCATAAGTAGATTGATTGTACAACCAGTGCGTGTTGCTGATGATGACTTATGGATCTGAATCGTGGTCCTTCACGGCCGTATGAGGAAGCTCAAAGTCACTCAGCGAGCTATGGAGATGGCTATGCTTGGAGTTTCTCTGCATGATAGACTTAAAAACGAGAATATCCGCATTAGAACCAGAAACCGCATTAGAACTATATAGCTCGAAAAACAAACAACCAATAGGGATGAAAGGTTCTCGGGTGTCAGCCTCGTACCAACAGGCGAAATGTAGGGCGTCTCCCCACTAGATGGAGTGAAGACCTGGTAAGAAATGCAAGAATTCAATGGATGCAGGTGGCTCGGGACCAATGTTCAGCAGTGGACTTGTGATAGGCTGTAATGATGATAATGATGATTGGGATAGGTCAGGTCGCATTTTAAAACCGGAAAAATAGTCTGGGATTTTTATTTTCTATTATATATATATATATATATATATATATATATATATATATATATATTTTTTTTTTTTTTTTTTTTTAATAATTTTTTGCAAATTTCATGTTATGCGCATTTGTAAAATAACCGCAAACCCTCTACCTGACTCACAATTCTAGATTTATCCGTTAATTTTATACTGTTTTTTTTTAAGTACTTGAACTTCCCCAAAACACGTTCCAATAATTTTTCGCCAGCTCTTGGGCTAAGTAGCTTGCTTATAATGCGAATATATGAAAAGACAAATATGTCTGTCTGTTTCTTTGTCACACTCTATAATCTAAATGATTTAATGGATTTTAACAAATGGGGTGTCGTTAGATTCATCTTAATTATGGGAGTGACAGGGTAAAAAATTTGTCTCTTTTCAGTAAATTTTTTATGCAATCGGTTCTTTTAATCCAGGTAAGACATACCATTGTATTTATTTAGCGGAAGGTTGCGGAATAATAATTTATATTTTAATTACTGTTTTAACCATTGAGCATGTTTGTTAAGTGAAACCGAACATAGTTTTAGCAAATATATTACGACTGCTTCTTTCATTTATACTTCGTAGAGCTGAGGCATTCCATCTCAGTCCTCAGGGGTGACAATACATATGCATTTTATTTCTTCATTGAGGATTAACGGTGGACTGAGTGCACGTTTTTCGTCCTAATTCTATTTAAATAATAATTCTTTCAATGTATGTGATTCTAGTTCTAAATTTACAAAAGATGAAGATATAGAATATTATGAAGACCCAAGTGGAGAAGCCGTGCAACCAAACGAACGTATTATAGTAACATCTGAGTCAGGCAGGTTGGTATATTCTTCAGCAATTTGATCGACGACTAGAATTATTAACGAAAGATGTTTGTGGCGTGCACTTATGTCAAGTAATGGTGGAACATGATAATCAATCATCCTATTTGTTCCCATACATGACTTATGAGGATACTATGGAAAACTTTTGTCTAAAATTAAGACATTTTTATTTGGAAATATTACAGTGACATATAAGGTATTGTCATGTATTTAGAAAAATGTAGAGATAAACATAGAAGTGCAATATCAGCTGTCAATGTTAAATATGCTCACAGCAATAATAGATGACACAACAAATATAATTGTATTACGCAACAACTGCTCTACTGCTACGCCTTATAGGTGTTGAATGGTTTCGAATAAATGAGTCAAAAGTGAAATAAAAATGCAGTGTTTAATTTAATAGTGTAGAAGCATAGTGAAGTGAATTAGTCGACATATGGACCCAGGAAACTGGACATAATCTTGAAAAATTACCTCGAATAAAATTACCTGTGTTTTCTGGTAGCTATGAAGAATGGCAAACATTTTATGATTTATTTCGTTCTCTAATCCATAATAACGCCAACATAACGCCTGTTCAAAAGCCAAAATTGCCTGTCAGGTGAACAGTAAAGTTTACTAAAGAATTTTGCTACGACTGATTCTAACAATGAAGAAACCTGTAAATAATTAACACGCCGTTATCAAAACAAAAGATATATATGCAATCCAATTATGAAGCAACTATTTTCTTAAAGGTCATTAACATATGATTTAGCTAACGGTAATAAACTATTATTGGATACAAAAAACTCTTGTTTGAAAGCCTTGAGCAATATTGAAGTTAAGGTGGCAGACTGGGACGTCGTCATGAATCACTTGGTTTTAACAAATTAAGACCAATAATCAAAAAAATTCTGTGAGGTACAAGTTTGCCAACTAGAATCTAAAAAATTACTGTCCTGGAATCATTTAGCAAATTTTCTTGAGTCCAGATTCCGAGCACTCGAAATTATTGATACAGGAAAAAATGTCACAAAAATGTCTGATAATAGCAACTTCAAACAAACTCATAAACAAAAATGGTGTCATGCAACTATCTCAGAAGAAGAAAAGGTATTGAGAAATAATTGTACAATGTGCTCAAGACGACATTTACTATCTCAACGTAAACAGTTTATAAGGCAATGTCCGACCAAAAGAATAGAATTTATTAAATCACAAAAACTTTGCTTCAGTTGTTTATCACCTACTCACAATGTAAGACAGTGCCATCAAACCACTTGCCGTCGACGATGTGGCAGACGGCATCACACACTGCTCCATATTGACAGATTCAGTGACTTCAATAACAACATGAACAAGAGCCTTGAAACGAGTCAAACACAAGAATCAACAAATCAATCAGAAATTGAGAAAAAGATGGTAGCCCATTTTGCAAAGCAGGAGGATGAAATTAACGTTTTACTTGCTACGGCGATTGCCTAAGTCAAATCAACAAAAAGTTACTCTCAAATAATCTGATTGATCAAGGCTCTGAAGCATCTTTTGTAACCGAAACTACCGTACAATTACTCGGTCTCCAATGCTTCTTAATTGACGGCTTAGTATCCGGTGTTGGAGACGGACAAATGAGAGTCAAGCATATGGTTCAACTAAGTTTAGAATCTTTGCAAATTCCTGAGTTTTCTGTTCAAGTGAGTTCCTATGTTTTGAGTACCTTGACATTGTTTCTACCGTCTACTGACACCAAAACCCTAAACTGGCCTGATATTGAAACTTACCCTTAGCTGATCCAAAATATGATTTACCTACAAAAATAGATATGATTCTGGGTGCCAATATTTACGGTGAAATACTACAAGAACGTTTATTCAAACACTCATCTAAACACGGACCCATCGTTCAGAATACTCAATTGGGATGAGTATTGTAAGGCGAACTCATCGAAGTTCCCAATCAAATCCTCGATTTATAAGTCTATATATCCAAGTAAAAGAAGATCAACTCTTGAAGCAGTTTTGGGAGATATAACGAGAACCGGATGAAATTAAAAATAAACAAACAAGGAACGAAATAAAATGCGAATAATTCTACGATAAAACGACGGTCAGGGATTCTGATGGTTGCCATGTTGTCCGCTTGCCATTCAACAGTCTTAACCCAGAGTGTTTAAAAGGAAAGTGACAAGAAATAGCAAAACGGAGATTCATGTTTTAGAAAAGAAATTACTAAAGAATCCAAAGCTATATGAAGAATATAAAAAAGAAATAAACGATTACTTAATACAAAACTATATGATCATAATTAAAATAATAATAAAGTAAATAAAGAAAAATCAATGTACTTACCTCATCATCCAATAATTCGCGAATATAAAGAAACTACATTACTTCGAATTGTATACGATGCATCCTGCAAAGGTGTTAATAACATATCTTTAATGATAACCTACTTGTCGGACCTAAACTTCCAGTTTTTGGCTTCAAATTATCGAATCGAAATTACAGATTTTCAGAGAAATTTGTGGAGACCAAATACTGATCAACCTATAAAACACTACAAGTTATTGTGACTTACTTTTGGGACTGCTTGTGCCCCATACTTTTTGGTAACGAAATCCATTCAACAGCTAGCTATAGACGAACAACCAAAGTATCCGACAGCGGCAAAAATAACATTATATGATTATTATGTAGACGATTTACTTACCGGTTGCGAATCCATAGTTGAAGCTAAAGAAATTTATGACCAAATGGTGAAATTAATGAGTGTTGACGGATTTATATTGCAAAAATTATATGTCTGAAAATCGAATATGTCTGAGAATCGACTGTTTCAAATATGTCGGATTTACCCGCAAAAATAATTAAAAGACATGTCCTATAAAAATAGCTAGATTATATGATCCCCTATGATCGATAGCGGTAATTATTCTCACGGCAAAAATTTATATTCAAAAAATATGGAAATCTGGTTTAAGTTGGCATGAAACACTAACAGAAATCTTAATGAAGGAACGGTTAGTAATTAGAGTTCGAAAACGATCTCGCTAAGGTAGAGAGAAATGTTGTACCCAGATGGTTAAACACCAGAAAGGAAGATAAAATAGAGTTGCATGTATTCGCTGACGGACCACAAGCGGCCTATGCAGCGGCAGTTTATTTGAATTCGGTTGACAGTATTGGTCGTGTTTGTATTAATTTATTGTCAGACAAAAATAAAATTTCTCCAATCGGCAAGGAAGTATCAACTCTAAAAAAATCTTTGCCTGCTCTGATTCAACTGTGGTGTTGGCATGGATTTACGGCGGGCCTAGCAGATGGTCAACATTCGTCAGCAACCAAGTCTCTGAGATTTTGACATTGTTGTACAAATATCAGTGGAATCACGTCTACACAAACTATAATCCAACAGACGGCACATCAAGGAATATATCCGTAAGCCGTATTCTTGATAATAACTTGTGCTGGTATGACCCCTCGTGGCTGCATGGAAAGACAACTCAATATATACGGACTAAAAGAAAATTTGTAACTAAAAAAGAAGAAAGACCAATCAAACATATTCTTACAGTAAAAATATTCCGTGAAGAAGATCCATTATTTACAGAGTTTTCGAGCTTAACTAAAACTTTAAAAAAACTTTAGCATTCACTTATCAACATGTGCACTCTGGTAATTTTTCACCCTTATTCTATAAAATAAATTTAAAAAAAAAAACAGAATACTTTATTGTGGCTTATGTATAAGATATAGGCATATTATAGTGCTGCAGATTTTTTTAGACGGAGTTAAGATCTTTAATCTGGTTGAACATTGTAGTCACGTATCACTTACCATTACGCCAGCGTATGCAGATAAAGCAGTTCGGATGCGCTTTTTCTGCTAACTTGCATAACAAAAATCAATATTTAAAACTACCTGAGAGATGAAGCCTAATGATAGATGGCCTGTACTATTTCTCACGAATCTAGAGAGTGTCTTTGTAAACAATTTTTTATAAATTATTATATAATAAAATTTAAATAATTATAGATTCATTCCTCTCGCTATACTCAATCTAAAATAACATATTTAGCTTCTTAGTTTCTCTCGTGTACTTTTCTTTTAGTCATATAAAACCTTTCTATTCTATATACTTTGTAGCCTTTTACATATTTCTGCTCTGATATGAATCTTAGCAAAGTAATTGTGTGTTTTGTCAAATAAATATGTCCAATGTTTAACATTATTTTTGTTAGATAATTGATAGAATCAGGCGTCACTTTGCGGAAATCCATTATAATAAAAAATAAAAATATAAATTTCTTCGCAACCTTCCGCCAAACAAATACTGATGATAATGATGTGTCTTACCTGGATTGAAGAGCACCTCCCGTCCTCCCTCAATTGCATGCACTAACTCCGTCACCACTAATCCCAGCACCACTACTCACAACACCACTATTCCAGGCAAGACACACCATTTTTATTATTTATGAAATTTATATTTTTATTATTTATTATCTTTTTTTCTGCGACATATAACATATCATGTACACCGTACCCGTAAATATAAATATTATTTATTTGTAGAAGCGGCTTGTTTCACTTGTAGCAATAAGACTAATTTTTGTATTTCCTACAAGTTTATATTATGAAGTATTTATAATTGTAATTTTTCAGAGGATCTGGTCTTAGCGTAATATTCAATGTAGAACCTGAAGATTATCCAGTTTGGTCTTCAACGCCATATTTTGGTGCAAAGGTAAGTAATGGCCATCTATATATCAATAATGATGTGTATAACTCCAGATGATTCTCCATTAAAGTTAATTTTTAATAAAATTCACAATATAAAAATATATTAAAATAAATGTAATTGTAATATTCTAGCTGAAAACTTGTTTAGGTTTAATATTCATTTTAAATAGACCCGCTGGGATATCCCCAGACTAATATTTTTTAATCAGTGGTATAAAAATATTTTTAAATGAAAACTATTTAAAATCTACATTTAATGAAATTAATGTATGTGGTTATCGAAGTATGCAAGTGGCTCAGGACCATACTTTGTGGCAGTTTTTGGAGTAGGCCTACGTTGAACAGTGGGCTTCTGATGATTACGATAACGATGCCGATGAGGATTATAACGATGATGATGATGAAGATCATGTATTTAACTCTAATTTATCTATGTGCTACTTTAGTGATTAAAGGCCAATTTTTTAATCCTTAAGTAAAAGTTATTTTTTAAATAATATACAACTTAAATAAATAAAACTTATACATTTGTACAATTTCGATATTTTTTATTATGCAGTTATATTTTATTTTGTTTAATGGATAACTTTTATTTGATGATTGTAAAATTTTCCTATAATCAAAAATTTTTTTTTCAGATTTTACTCAGTGATCCAAACGACTACCCAGAGATAACAGTTCTATATAAATTAATAAGTTTAAGGGAGTCGATAGATATAAAAGTGGAGCCAATGTTATTTCAATGCGAAAATGATATTCGATATGTTGCTCCGGAGAAACGGGGTTGTTGGTTTCACAATGAGGCGTTTCTCGAGCATACCGACAGATATAGTTACGAAACCTGTAAAACAGAATGCAAAATGCAAAGATTTCTAGAGAGCTGCGGGTGCATACCGTATAAGTATCCAAGAGGTTAGTTTAAGTATCTTAATTTTGAGGATTTTTGTACGAATATACAGGATAGTTAGAATATACAGGGATGTATGAATATACAGAATGTTTAGAACAGTTGCGGAAGAAAAACACAATTAGTTTGGTTATGGGTATGTTTGCAAGAGTTTTTAATTAATTAAGGGAGAGGGGGGGAGAGTGTCTACTACCAAAATATATTACAAAAGGGATGAAAGATAACAAAAAAGATCAAAATCTAACTGGACATTTCGCATGCTGCTCCTCATGATTTGGATGACAAGCTTTACCTCGGATTTGGTATAAAACAGCATTGCACGCCTTTTTTATTTGAATCACTTAGTAAAGTAGTAAAGTTACAGCCTATATACAGCCCACAGTTGGGCACAAACCTACTCTCCTTCTGAGAAGTTTTTAGCATAAGGAATTTCCGCTAAACTAAACGCCGTAAAGGCTAGTGGCAAATATCATATATATCTTCAAAACTTTTTTTTATAGGATAGGGTAACAAACGAGCACACAATGCACCTGATGGTAAGTGGTTGCTGTGGCCCATAGACATCTACATCTATCCTCGACTACGAATCAAAAGATGCAGATGCGTTGTCACTCGTGAGGACTAAGATGGAATGCCTCGTTTCCAGTAAAAAGGGTATCCGGTTCTCTACACTCACCACACGAAATACAGCAGTATTAAGCTACCATTTCACGCTGGTATTCCGTGAGAGTCCTTCCCCGGTCGAGCCGACTCGTTCGTGCTACAACTATACGTCTAATGTAACTGCAGCATGGATCTACCACGTATATAAAACTTTTTTGAAATTAAAACTTCTTTATAACGGTTTGTGATTTGAAACTCAAACGAAAAAGCGTCGCTAAAAAGAGGCAAACATATATTAATTTATAAGGATAGCAACACCATATCAAGATAAATAATGTATACAAACTAGTTACACGAAAAAATTAATATAGGCAATTACAGTAATCCGCAATTCACCTAAGTACATGTGGGCGGATAAGATGAGAGTGATACAGTTTTATAACGAATATAACTTTCACAAACTATTTTGGTTGGATTACAATCTCAAATTATAAATTAGTGAAAATGCAAAATAAAATAAACAATAAAAGTAAAAATGGGCTATATTATATCATAGTTTTTCATATTATTTTTATTTATTATTATTATTTGATACATATTTACTTTTAGAATAAATATACAACTTCTGTTAACTTCAAATGTTTCCGCCATTCGAGTATTATAGTTCGTTAAGAGAATTTACAAATTAAGTGTGGCACATGATGTTATGAATTTTATGTAACGTTTATTTAAATAATAGATAAAAAGTTTAATACAGTGCAGTGTTAAATGATTTCATACACAATACAATACAATACTAATTTACATCTAGACTACTACTTTATTATGATATTTACCTTTGTAATATTTTATTTATTACTTTTCTTATTGTACAATTACCATTGCTGCTTTTTTCTACGTTGATAAACTCGCCAAGTAATGTAATTTGAAACATTAGATATCATTGTGCATTGTGCGTATGTTTATAAAACTGTAAGATGTGGCGACATCGCTTTTGGAAGTAATCGAGTGCTTATTCATTTCTATTGTCTTTTTATTACTATTTCTGTGGGAACATGGAATAGGGATATGTGCCGAGTGCGTCGGGTAGGTACGCAAAGTGCAAGGCGCTCTAGCAACTCCTGGCACCGTAATCGTACATTCATTAAATCAAACAAAAATGTCATTTTGGTTATATATATTACAATTGTTTCTACAATTTGTTGTAGATTTACAAAATTTATAATTAAAATGAGTTAAAAAATCCGTATTCGTTCTAACCAGTGTATATAAACAGCATAATGTGGGTTCCAAATTAAACTTTCGTATTCTAAATACTTAATATGCTTCTTACATATCCAAAATATATGATTTTTAAACTTAAAAAAATCTTTTAAAATCTCTGCAAGTACGTATTACAGAGGCCAGGTTATTAACTACTAGTTTTTTTACCCGCGGCTTCGCTCGCGTGGCCTTCAATTTAGCAACATTACAAAAATTAGCAAAATTGGATCTCTTTTAGCGTTGCCTCCGTATATGTGTCTATATTGGACGTAAATGATTGAAAGAGTTGAGTTTATCAAACTTGCATAAATGTCATACGTCTAGCAACACCTTTTTATAATATGCGGCATGGAAGCCTTCCGATGTGTCTTTATGAAGGTTAAATTGTCTTGGTTCGTTATTAACATTTATTTATAATTAGAGTTAATATAGTTCTAAGGAAATAATGTTGAATATAAAACAGTCTTTAATTAATACCTGGCATAGTATTTCTTCGCGATATTCGTATCAAAACATTTACCCATTTGAATATTGATTGGCACCATAAAGTATATGTCGGCATTTTTTACGTTCAAATAGACTGAAATTTCGTTAATAAAGTTCTATTTACGTTACACATATGAGAAGAACTACATTCATGAACGGAGGTAGAAATACACAGAAGATGGGCAGCAGCGCCTTTCTGATTACACCCGCCTGCCAAACGTGACAACTGCGGCAAATATCCAACTTATTGTGCAATCTATGGGGGAAATCGAATCGTTGAACGGATATAGAAACATATTGGTCATGAAAAGGCGGCGAAAAAGAAATAAATACCCCATTTCTTCTCATAGGTGTTGTTCACGCTTAATGCCTGAAGTGATTTAAGTGAAATACGCGAATGAGTGATTGCCTTCAGCTCGTCAGAAGGCGCTAATGTGCTTCTCAAAGCAAATTCGCAATGTCATCTCACTTGTCAACCAAACGCCGTACGATTAACATTTCATTTGTCAACTAATTTTGAAAAGTAAGAGCATTATATTTGCACCAGTTTATCCTCTAAAGATAAAACATGGTGAACCATGAGGAGAACTAAAAAGAACCTGCAAGAAAATCAATAAAAGTGAAGAAATTCATCAAACACAACCATCGACGGGCTTCGAATTTTACAACGGATCTATTGCTATGGACGGAACCTTGCAGTGAACAGTCTAAAGTCACGGGTTTCAAGCAGCAGGATCGAGAAGTATACTGAGAAGAAGATCAAGTTTCAACAGCGAAAGTTATACATCGAGACGTGACCTGGTTCTCACGCCGAAGTTAAGTGTCCTTCCTTCAAAGCTATTTTCTTTTAAATATCCAATAACCCTAATTACTTATTCAGAATACTACTCCATTTGTGTAAATAAAGTGTTCTTTAGGTTATTCACGCCTCCAATTCATAAATTAAGTGCAATTTTGTTCTTGCATAATTTTTTACACCTACCTTAAATTAAAAAAGAAAAATTACTTAGAATTCCATTAAATTTAACAAATAAATGGTTAAATTAGTTTAATTAAATTACGGTTCACAAGTTTAGCCAGTACAAAATTCTTGTTTTTAAAGTAAAAGTTAACAAAAATACAAAATTTTTCAGCGGTAGATTCCTTTGTTCTTTATCGATTATCTACAAAATATTTAGCATATTTGCCGACTATTCCAGGTTATATAAGTAATTATCATCGCACAGAACTGCTCGCTGTTAGTCGCTAATGTGTCGGCACCGACCGGGAGCGATCCGCTGAGCGTGCGCAGCCGGCTTCCCTGTATAGCTTGCTGTACACACAAGCACGGCCAGAACGAGAAACGTGAGCCATTATTTTTACTATTCTAACAGTTGCATTGCTATTTAAATAATAAGCATTTAAAAATTATTTGAATATAAAAGTTAAAAATTATTTGAATATAAAAGTTAAAGTTTATTAAAAATGACTTCATCAGCAGCAATTAAAACACGATTACGTGAATTAACTACAAAAAGGGTGTCCGCAAAAGGGCAAACAACTAAATTTAAAAATTATTTAAATAGCATTAGCAGTAAGACGGACTTAGATAATGTGCAATTTACCGAGTTAAGTTTAAAACTCACCAAATTTGAAGCGTTATCCGTTAAGGTTGATGATTTGCAGAGTGAAATAGAGGTTTTAAATCACGAAAATATTTCGGCCGAAATTGAGGAGCGCGACAATTTTGAGCAAGAGATAATGATAAACATCGCCAAGGCCAAAACTTTAGTTGAAAGATTTTCTAAAAAATTAGAATGCGAGAAAAGGCGCAGCTCCGTGCACAACGCCTCATGTTGCGTGTGTGATCCTGATTGCCGTGAGGCAGGTTTGAAATTACTTCAAATTCAAATTGCCAAATTTGATGGTTTCTATTTCCCGTGGCTGGAGTTTAGAATTTGAACCTTTGAGAATTTGATACATAAAAATGATCGCATTTCAAATATTCATAAGTTTCATTATCTCGTGTCTTATTTGCAATGTGACGCGGCCAGAATAATTTCTAACTTAGAAGTGTCAAGGAATAATTATTCTGAGGCATGGAAAATGATTTGTAATAGATATGATAACAAAAGAATATTAGTTAATCATCACTTAAACGCATTGTTAAATGTAAAACAATTAACACCCAAATCGGAACGGTCTTTGAGATTTATGGTAGATCACGTAACCAAGAACTTACGCCCCTTGTCTAGCCTAGGACAAGCCACTGATAAATAGGACGTGCTTATAATATTCATATTAGCATCTAAGCTAGATAGTGCTACATTATTAAAATGGGAGGAATATCGCAATACATTAACGAGTGATGTACCGTCATTGGAACAATTTTATAAATTTTTGATTGATCGTGCCGATGTACTAGAGTCAATGAGTCGTAACAATAGGACCGATACAAATAACATTTCAAAAAGCCCTTCTGGCAATATTCGTCATACATCTAATAAAAATTATAATTACGCTCAAAAGTTTCATCAAAACAATAATACCATAAAGACATTTGCAAGCACAAGCGATAATTACAGTAAAAAGTCAAACATATTTACATGCATTATTTGTAACGAGCATCATCAGATCAGATCATCTACGATTGCCCCACATTTAGGGCTAAGGG